ACATTAAAATGTAGGCACTTGTAGTAGACCTTGAAATGTTACATGAATACTTAAAATATTGAAAATTGAAATGTCCCCAGGAACTCTAAACCTACCAATCTGCTTGAATTAGACACCTGGCATCTTTTCTTTTCAGCAATTTCATTAATACTTGGGCTCAATTTCTGAGCTGCTGAGCTAACGTTAGGTGTTTATATTGGCTGACCTGCAGTTAGTTGTTTGGTGATACGACTGGTGTGAAAGTGTAAATTGTGTAGAATTGAAGTGTAACTGCTGTCTCATAGATTGTTGTTGGGGTAGGAGAGTCAGAGCACACATAACACTGCAGTGCATGCTGCGCACTGTAGTGCAGTGCATTGTGAAACGGGTTAATACTAATAGAAAATTAAAATACTTTTGTGATAGGATTGTGTCACAGGCCTGATCTTGTGTTTGACACATGGGGTCTACTGTATATATACACCATCCTAGCTAGATAAACCAGCATATCATCGCTGTTGTATTTATATTTTTGTTCTTTCTTCTTTTTACATAATTTGAAAACTCCAGTTGCGCTTCGCGTTGTGTTAAAGTTTCATGATAAACAGACCAAAGAAAAGGCCCACAATAACTCAGAAAAAGAATCTTGCTACATTAACTTCCATTACAAGTTAAGTCTTTCCTTCTCCTATAAAGTTACCATTACAAAGATATGAGGTTTTGTTCCAGCAGCAACAATATGTTGTGTGTTGGATGCTGGTATGCTGGTCATCCAGACCAGCATAAACCAGCTAATTGTGGGTGTAGATGTAAAGGTATAGGGAAAAACTACAAGTACAGAAAGAAAGAGAACGAAGAGAAAGTTTTTAATGGTACACAGCAACTGAAAAGAGAAATTGTAGAACACACCATGGCCCACATCATTATTTCCTCATTTGTCAGCAAAGTTTGTTCATGTGTTAAGCAGTGCTTTAAGTTCTTTAATTCCTTACTTCTTTGTGTGAAGATTGCAGGCATACGAAGGCATAATTAGCCTCTATTGATTAGGGGGCACCATAGAGAGTGACGAAAACCAGCTCTGACAACTGCAATTCTGCGCTCGTCGCATAACGATTGTGGTGAATGACAAACCTAATACGAATCACCTCTGATTTGCTATTGATGGGGAAATGTGCTGTGGGCGTAGGCAGACTATCGTCATTTGAATCTTTTTGTGTGTGTGTATGTGTGCATAACACAAGAGAGACAGAGAAGCACAAACAATAGAAACATCCCCCACATTCTCGATTTTTCAGTCAATAATTCTGATTATTTGGTTGTGCAGTAGAGGCGGTGCCGTGAGCCAGAAGTTAGCGCTCCTGCGCTGCACGCCATGAAAATGCAAACACCAGAGCAGTCTAACTGTGAAAACAGACTAGTGTCCTTGGTCAGTGTCCCAGCATTACTCATAGCTGAGGCTGCTGATTGCTATTATGAGAGCTGTCCAATTCTATCATTAGGACGCCCAACATCCAAGGTTGCTAAAGCGCTAATCAAAGGAAAAGCTGAAAGCTGGCAGTGGTGCCGTTACAGTCATGCTGCCAGCATCTCTCTCACTGCAGGGCCCTGGAGGGAGATGAAACCTGAGGGACAAACCAAGGACCAAGGGTCGTATGAGTGACTTGGGATGTTAGAGACCAAACTACATTTTGAAAGTTAACATCAGTGCGAAACAAATCACTCAGGAAGCATGACTGTGATAGCATATTATTAAACATGCAATGCAAAACGTCATTGTACATCCACTCACTGACCACTTTAATAGAAACACCTAGCTTGTACTTCCACTCACTGACCACTTTAATAGAAACACCTAGCTTGTACTTCCACTCACTGACCACTTTAATAGAAACACCTAGCTTGTACTTCCACTCACTGACCACTTTAATAGAAACACCTAGCTTGTACTTCCACTCACTGACCACTTTAATAGAAACACCTAGCTTGTACTTCCACTCACTGCCACTTTAATAGAAACACCTAGCTTGTACTTCCATTCACTGGCCACTTTAATAGAAACACCTAGCTTGTACTTCCATTCACTGGCCACTTTAATAGAAACACCTAGCTTGTACTTCCACTCACTGCCACTTTAATAGAAACACCTAGCTTGTACTTCCATTCACTGGCCACTTTAATAGAAACACCTAGCTTGTACTTCCACTCACTGCCACTTTAATAGAAACACCTAGCTTGTACTTCCACTCACTGACCACTTTAATAGAAACACCTAGCTTGTACTTTCACTCACTGGCCACTTTATTAGAGACACCTTGTACTTCTGTTCACTGGCCACTTTACTAGAAAGAAATACCTTGCACTTCCACACATTGGCCACTTTATTACAAACACTTACCATGTACTTCTGTTCACTGGCCACTTTATTAGAAACACCTTGTACTTCCACTTATTGACCACTTTATTAGATACACCTAGCTTGTACTTCTACTCATTGGCCACTTAATTATGAATGCATACCTTATACATCCACTCACTGGCCACATTATTAGAAACACATACCTTGCACTTTCTTAGAAACCCATTCTATGTACTTCCTCTCACTGACCACTTTATTGAAAAACACATTCTTTGTACTTCCTCTCACTGACCACTTTCTAAGAAACACCTACCCTGTACGTCCTCTCACTGGCCGCTTTATTAGAAATACATACCTTGTACTTCCGCTTATTGGCCAATTATGGTCCTCATAGGTGTACAATTACACACTGTAGTATTTTATCAGCAGCACTCTGCGCCATTTACCATTGGTACGTTTCTGACTTCAGGACCACATACTATTTGGGTGGTGGCCCATTCTCAGCATAGCAGTGACAGTGACACGGTATATCAGTCACAGCGATGTCGCTGGAGTTTCCACATGTCAATGTCATTGAGTGGCCCACCAGTCACATCAATATTAGAAAATATCTTACATTTTCTTTCTCTCTTTTGATCTTCACTTGATCTTATCCCTGACACACACACACATCTCCACACACATGCTGAGCCTCCAGAGCTGCGTGACATGGCTCATTTGGCAGCCAGGCAGGCAAGTACAAGCAGAAGGAGAGAGCTCATAGCCTGAAGACTGGGCTTTCCCTACAGCGAGAGATGACTGACATATGCTACTGTTCTTCTTTTTTGCAGCTTTCACAGTGCCTCCACCACCGCCGGCACACAGTCTGTTCCATACACTGCTATCTCCACCACGGCTGTCTATTTATCCACATACAGCCTGTTCACTACAATGCCAAATGCATAGTGGGCTGTCAGCTTGGTGGCAAGCAGGCCAGGAATCCTTCTCTGCATTCTGCAGTGATGTCATTTATATAAAGAAATCGAGAGAGAAGCAGTAGGGTACTTCACAGTGTAATAAAATTGTAGTATAGTATGGAACGTTTCTGGAGAAACAGGATGCTTCAGACAGACGTGCAAGCAAAGTTCAAGCATGACTTAGACAAGAAAAGTGCTTCTGGAACATATATAACACCTGAAATAAGTTAATATGTAAATAATTGGCTTTGACCATATTTTCTGTGACACTGCAACAGATGAGATAGGGCACTCAAGTCCAACAATGACTGACTTGCGAATTAACTCGCCCTTAAATAACTTGTGACTTGGCTTGGATTAAGAAACAATGAACTAGTTAAATTAGGACCACCAACCTTAACATGGTAAATGAATAAAACCTTTCCAACCTTACCTGTGTGACTTTGCCCATCAGTTTTACTGCATTACTGCAATGCTGTTCTCCCACAGCTCACGATGGTGTCAGGTTTGATACGGCTTCGTATAACAATGCTTTCATTAGAAAAAAACCTTCAGTCTAATGGACAGAACAGAACACTACACAAAGTCAATATGGTGTTAAATGGAAAGAGGCAAAACAACTTGAAATGGTTGGCTAGAGTGTAGTTTGGATAGCAAGTATGCCTGCTAGCGCAATAGCTATTTTAGCTGAAGTTGTTGGCTAATTTAGCTTAGGTTTTAGAGCATTACATATCATATTCCTTTACAACGTTCTAAAACTTGCCAAAAATAGCTAAATTAGCTATTATGTTAGATATCTAGCGTACATGCTACCTAAACTACATACCAGCCAACCGTTTCAAGCTGTTTTGCCTTTTTCATTTGCAAATATATAATATGTAAATACAGAGCGCAATGTACTATATCAAAAACACAAGCTGCTAGTTCAGTTAACTACACTGTTAGAAATAAAGGATCTGTGCAGGTACATTTTTTGTTAATCAAGGTACAAACAATTTAAGTGTACCCTCAAAGGTACATCTGAGATTTTAAGGTCCAATTATGTACCATAAATAAGTTTTTCCCAGTGGAAAAGTACACATTTGTACCTTTTTATAACCTAATGTTTTAAAACGAAGGGTGTGGAGTAAACACAATTTAGAAAATATAATTTCAATGGATTATGGTACAATTATGTTCTCTGACTAAAGGTACTGAGATGTACCCTTGAGAGTACCACCCCAGTGACAAGAGGGTTACTGCCCCAGACACAGTTTCATGCCTTTATTTCTAAGAGTGTAGTGGCGTAATCAAATGCATTGCACTTAACTTTTTTTAATTGCTTCATGCACCTGCAAGTAGTCACATAAAGGTTTCACGGTGTAAAGCCAGACTTAATTAATAAAGCTTTGGGTTTTTTTTTTTTGGGCCCGGCCCCATGTTGTCTGCATTTTAGGCCTTGTGCCTACTTGATTTTTCAAAATTCAACAAGCTCTTTCACTTCTTGCATGGAGTTTTCATCTGAGGGGATATCCCATGGCAACCGCACTGGCAGAAGCTGGCAAACTCACACAAGCACATGCTGACACACACTCACACATATCCACAGATGTAAAACGCCATCATACATATGCATACACTCTTACACACACACTGTACCAGAAGCAGTAGACTGACTCCTCCCTGTTAGCCCCAGGCTCTTACTGTGGTGAAGCAATAATCATATCAGACACAGGTCGAAGCTTATTATCTGTGGCTCGATACCAGCCATGGGCTTTCCAGGGAACAGGGGCCCCAGCAACTGAATGAGAGAGAGAGAGACAGAGAGAGAGAAAGGGGAAAACTTGCCTCAGCTAGAATACTGGGACAGTTTCTTTTGGCTCTGTAATGCAGATGGAAGGACTAGTCAACTGGCCATTGGGACTGACTCTCCTCTGGATGTTTTGACTTCACCACTTCTGGCTGTTAGCTCTGCCATCCACTTGGCCAAAGGAGAGACACCATCACATCTCTCAGGTACAATAGTGCTCCCTCTCTTATCAAGCATTCCAGAGAACCACATTACTAATTGGTTCTGGGCTTTGGCGTACAGTTCTAGGAAACAACACTTATATTAGTATGAAACTTTTATATTATGGCTCTTTAAACTTCAGAGAAGAAATATCCATTTAAAGGTTCTAAAAGTTACTTAAAGTAGTTCTACTACAGCATCACTCCCTTTTTGACACATTGCAAAGGTGCATAGTATGTGAACAAACTGCTGGTTAGACCTGTCTAGAGTTCACCACTGGTGTTAGCTCCTATAACCGCAGTTATGTGGTGGTAGTACTACAGTGCAGTACTAAATTGATGGCCCATGTGAAGAAACTTATCTTATACCACTTACATAATCGGTGCCCGGTGCGTGCAAACTCATCACGGCCTTTCAGTACCTACAGTGGCCATGGTTGAACAACTAAGACAAAAATCCAAAGAAATACACTGATACTTTTTATACTGGGGCCACTTTGAATTGGTTTGAGTTTTGCCTCTTCGATTAAATCTGTAATGAGTGATGCTGTTTGAAGCCTGCCAAAAGGACAATGTAATTGCACGGGGGTTGACTGAGGATGATTCGAGAGTATTTTCATTCGAGCCAGAGAAACAGCTGTGCATTAAATGGAGATTACTTTCACCACCATATTTTGGTGAACGAAATCAATGTGTCTGTCACCAGTCGGTGGGAGTAAACAAAAACAAATGTATCTCCACAGTCATAATTTGGCCATAATTGCCATGTTTGTCAGCAAAGTGAACGGCTTACAAAAAGTCATTGGGCAGCTATGCATCTGTGGGATGGGAGGGAGGATTCATCAGGGGGAGCCATCAAGCAAATATATGAGATATTTCACTCTAATTTTCTTTCTTTGAAAACCGTAGAGTGTAAGAGAATGAAACAGCTTGGGCCATTAGGGCGAAGAGCATAAGGAATCTTGAAGTCGGATGCCTTTCTCAGAAGACTAAATTGCATTACAGAAAATGAGGGGCATTCAATGCATGACAATACTGAAGAAACTGTTGAAAGAATGACTTGAACGTGATGTTCGGGTTCCTTCAGCTTGGGTTCCTTGAGCTCAGCCTGGAGATGCCGGGTGCTGTAGAATAACCTTTAGATTTTTATGGAAATTAGAAACCCTCAGCTCACTGGAGTTAATATGCATAAAGTATAGGAATAGAGTTTTTGACATTAGGCCCCAAATAAACACTTTTCATTTTTCTCTCTCTAGCTGAATGATCTGAATTCCATCCACTGAAGAACATCTCAATAGACGAGAGTGAACAGTTGTTCCGTTGTTGTAGCGGAGTACTGGACTTTGTGAGTAAACCTCAGAGGATAGTAGTTGGACCGTGGTCCTGCCATGGGGAAGACGGGGCAGAGCACAGTGGACCTCAACTCGCCCTCAGAGGTCAAGCAGGCCGTGCCGTTTGAGGAGCTGAACCACAACATGACTCTTCCTGCTGAAGAGAAGAAACCGGACCTTCCTGATCGGGGAACCTGGAAGGGCAAGTTTGACTTCCTTCTGTCCTGCATCGGATATGCCATTGGCCTGGGGAACGTCTGGAGGTTCCCCTACCTGTGTGGCAAGAATGGAGGCGGTAAGAAGGATATCTTGCTTCAAGTTGAATGCTGGAGGGTTTGGATGCCCTTACGCATTGATCTGGGATAGGCTATTCAAATCCCAGACATATTACCCTTCGGCACTGCACTGTACCATTTTCTTTGATCTACACATTGGATTCAATTTGCCTTATTTAGTTTTATTTCAAGGCTATGAGATGAATTAGATCAGTGATTCACAGCCCTGCCACTATTAATTACATTTCATTTGCCTGAAAATAGGTGGATAACGTATTACAAATTTGCAAGGCAAATTCATGTAAAGTTACTAACCAATTAAAGTGTTTGCATTTTACTCTTAAGTATACGTATAACCTTAAGGCTGTGAGCGAAGTTTTACTGGTACTCAAACGTTTGCAGCTTTTCTCTTTTCATTTTCTTCATAAGAAGGAGAGTGCAGAGTTGTAGCACAACTGAGTATGACACCAAGTCTTAAACAGATTAGATCCTTCACTCAGAACAACAATACTTCCATGAAACAGCACTACCTGCAATTGGTCAACAATTAACCACTGATAATAAACTCAACATGTGCATTGATATTGTATATATAAAGCCTGAACCCATTCTCCAGTAAATACATTCCAAAAACTTCCAAAAACAACTTGAATAAAAGTACAAAAGTACTCAGTAAAAAAGAAATTAGTAAAGAAATGTTTAATAACTGACAAAATGTAACTGAGTAAAAGTTACTTTCCTATCAATTCATATCAATCCATTAAACGTTGACTTCAGTACATGTTTCTGGGTAAATGTACTTAGTTACTGCCCACCTCTGACATTGAGTAGACTTGCTATGCAATTTCTAGTAAACAGGGGTGCTTTGACCTGTTCATGGGCCCTGGGAGCTACAGGTGGTCATGAGCCCTATGTGTATAGGTACACACAGTGTCCAAAAACTTAACTTGTTTTAATGTAGGTGCACATATTGACGCCGTCAGTCAGAGACTCCAGCGCTGCCATCCATTACTGCAAAAATTTAAGCTCAGAACCAGACCGCTAAAAGCCATAGATGGTCCTGGTTGGAAATTAGCACATAGAAGGCAGTACATTCCCAAATGCTTTGCCAGATTCTGTTTTGAATTGTCTGTTGCACCTTTAATGGTGCTGCAGTTACTTTCTGGTGCCTGTAACTGCTGCGCTGGGCATGAAAAATGTTCATGATCCATTCATGTCTTGTATTTAATGCACTGAAGTAATGATAGACATCTGCTTTGGCATTTTCAGTCTTTGTAGTAAAAGAGCATTGTAAATACCAAATTCACAGAAAACTGATGGCGATGTTTTTTGGCTTCGGATGGGTAGAAAATCACATAATTTACAGGATGAAATCTCCTTTTAAAATGCTCACAGATTCATCTTTCAAATTCAAACACTGGCACCCTGATAACAAACTTAAGACTTGAGGTAACGGTTACTGTGCAATGACTGAATGACTGTAATTTCACTTAAAAAAAAATTAATTTATTTAAATATTCTTTCTCCATTTGATTGGGTAAGCCTGGTGATCAATCTGGTAGGCCTAGGTGGTGGAGAAGCAGTGGGACTCACCCCAGAGTGAGTTCCACTGTTCAATTTGGGGTCATTCAGGTCAGGGAATAGATAATTAATTCCTGATCTAATGTCAGGACTCTCCGTCCTACACATGTCCTTCTTCATCAGGCCCAATGCCACAATCCTGCTGCATAGGCTAGTGCCCTCTAAATATATTGCACCGACTGATTGATTTCTTTTGAGCTGCAAATCTGTGACTGACCAGTTCAATAAATAGCCGGCCATGGAAACTGCTGGGAAGCTACAGTAAGATTCACTCTCTTCTTCATGTAACATGAGAACAGAAATCTACTGATTAGCCTTGAACTTACCGTAGATGATTTTCTGATTATCTTTTTGAGAGATTTTTAAACAGTCTGATTTACACAACTGACTGAGGTACAGATATTGTATCAGTCATTAAACAAAATAGATAGAACAGGTGGATCAATCAGTGTTTTTGGGATCAATACTGATAACCAATCCCCTTTCAGCACAATCAGCCCATACCATTTCCAACTGAGCGTGGGGCTGGATGCCATAAGTGATTCTGGAGAACGACTGTTGATATTTGAACTCAACAGCAAAACAAACACACCTCTCAGTTCAGTAAATGGGACAAATCAACACTGACCTATTGGTTCTGTGAAAAAGCAAAAAATAAGTTAACGTTACCCACCTGTCAAGCAGAAACAGAGCAACCTCCTCATTACTTTTCAAGCCTTTCCAAACTCAGTGAAGCTGAATTCAGCTTCTTTTTCGCCAGCTTCTTATTCATATTTTCCAGTTACACGTTAGCAGTGCAGCAGTTACATTCTAGCATAACCATTAGAATAATCAGAGCCTACACAACCAGCGTACCTAACAGTCCTCAACTGTTAAGAGATAAATATCTTGTAGATGTACTGTTGATACATTACTTACATTAAGTATAAAGTATTGTTGATATATTACATGAAGTAGATTTAATATGATACTTCCAATAAGCGAAATCCAAACTTACTCAAGACCTAACCCTAACCCTGGCCCTCATCCTAACCCTAACCTTAACCTCAACCCAAAACCTAATCCTAACCCTCACCCTGCCCTAATCTTAGCTGTAAATTTAACCTCAACCCCTTAATCCTAATCCTAACCCTGGCCCTAATCCTAACCCTAACTTTAACCTCAACCCAAAACCTAATGCTAACCCTCAGCCTGGTCTTAATCCTAACCCTAACTCCAGTTAAAGAATGTTGTGAGCAGCAATAACAGCTTGTTGAGATGGTCTGTACATGTTTTGTTACATGGTTTGTTACATGTTCAGTGACCTCTCAGGTTAACATCTACAGATCTGAATTTGGACCCTCCAAATAAAGTGAAAGACAATTGAATTCAGCAGATTATAAACAATTTTATTCATGCAGTTAATTAAAAGTCTTGATAATCTGATTAATGTATTCACTGCTGCTACATCCTTGATATGTTGTTGATGTGTTACTGAGAATCTGTTGAGTGTTTATTTCATCTAAAAAGGACCATTTAAAATAAAGTGTCACTAACTGTGTTATTTACAGCTCTACACGTCCACACAGCGGCTCATTTAGAGCATAATAGGAGCCAAATATGTAAACATATACTTCAAAAAAATGTTTTTCATTACTGAAATAGATTTGGCAAGGTTGAAGTTGGCTTCCTATTCACCAGCTTCTTGATCAAATTTTCTAGTTTCAGGGCTCATATGTTTTACGTCACTGATCTCTCAGGATCGACTGAGTGAGAGACATATCAGCCGATCATTGATCACAAATTTGGGCTGAAAATATACCACTGCATAGCCAATCGATCCTTCCATCTCTAATAGATAGTAAAGTAGTACAAGATACTGTCTGGATAACAGAAAAATACTGTAATTTTCTTCAAATACTGTAACAAGCATGCCCAGGAATGCAGACAGATAAAAATAATAACTCAAAAGCAAAATCCACTAAATATGATGAGAAAAAATAAAATGTAGTTATTTAACTGCAATTAACCCGTTTTGCAGTAATCACAGAGTGCACATTCCAGTTGTTTTGGAGATCCCTCCATTAAACAACACATTTCTTTCTTCAACAACTTTGATGAAATATATATTGATTGGAAGTATGCATGATTTGCAGAATCAGGAGTGAACTGGATTTTCTTCACAGTAGGTGAGCAAGCAAATCAACGTTTACAAAATTGGTTTTATTATGCATTTATTTCATGGTGGCAGTTGCAAACAATTTTTTGATTTCAAGAAGGCTGCAGTTGTGCGGCCTCTTTTATCATAGTCATCTTTGTGGAGAGGTGTGAATTGTTTTCACCAGAGTTGGGAGAGTTACTTTAAAAAATGATTCCAATACAGATTACTGATTGCCTGTTAAAACTGTTATCCGTAACATAATCCAAATGATTACTATATTAAAGTAATGTAATTTGATTACTTTCCGTTACATTTGGCATACTTGTCTTTTTAAAGTCTAACAATTTAATAAAAACAACAGAAAACAGAAAAATAATTTCAACAAGATGAACCCTTTAACCCTTTAATCAACTGCATTGTTTACTGAAGCTAAATCTTATAGGTGATTTAATTGACAGGACGTTATATGAAATTCAAAAGGTCAGTCTGGTAGACATCTTCCTTTGAGACTCCTCATCAACAGTAATTATAAATGGAGGTCTAAACCCTAAACTCTAACTGACCGTTGTTTGTGTTCTATTTGCTGAAAGGCCCTGGTTCATGGGGCTTTATATTTATATCACTACATCATGCTTAGACTACAAATTGTTGATGGTCCATTTGCTTTCACTGATTAAGGTGATTTTTAAAAAGCATTCATTTCAGCTGAGAGCTGATTGTTTTAATCAACAGAGCCAGAGTAGGACTTGTTTTCCGACCATGATGAAGTTAAAATCAGACAGTTGAGATGTACAAGTATTGCAGCAAACTTTAAAACCCAAACCTAATTATCACAGGTAAAGACATATTGCCTCAGAGGGCATGAAATGGTGTTTATGGTCCATTTATGTCTTACTTTACTGTTAAATGTTTGCTTTGACATTTTCACAAAGCTCATACCAGCTGTAGTAAAAGAGCATTGTAAGTACCAAATTCGCAGAAAACTGACGACAACGTTGTTATACTTTTGTTTTTGGCTTTGGATGGGTAGAAAACAACATATTTAAGGAACAGATATATTTTTAAACATACCAAATTACGTCTTGTAACCTTAACTGGAGCTTCAAATTCAAAAACTGGCACATGATAAAGAACTGAAGGCTTGAAACAAATGTTATAAAATCTGTAGAGCACTGCCTCTTGTGTCAGCCAGCCAGACTGGATGATATCATAGCCAGATTCACATAGTTGCATTGAATTTCATAGGCTAATCTCTTGAGGCTGTTAGATTCTAATTTGAACTTCCGTTCCACCTTAAATAGTGCAATAGTTGCATGCTAGCACCCGTCCAGGCGTCTGAACAGAACTGCTGCATCATTTAAGGTGGAACAGAAAATGAGATAAAGTAGCTAATTTCAGCTTCATCTAATCTCTGCCCACTGTATGAGACTCAGTTACAGTCAACAAACCAGGGCTGTACCACTTGAGGTGGGGGCCACTAGTTTAACCCTCAAATTACTACATATATACATTTCAGTGTAACCTTTATAGTTTGTGTGTTCATATGCCTATATGCGATAGTTTATACATTAGCTCTCAGTAACCGCCTGAAAACTCTACTGGCCCACTGGGAATTCTCCCGAATCTACCCACTGTGCCATTTGTTGTCAGTAATGATGAATTACCCGTTGTAACATTTTTACACCCACAGTTCAAAAATTCTTAAAGAATTTTGGCAAATCATTGCTCACTAGCAGCTCAACACAGAGTAACAACATTTCACACACAGAGCCAATGCTGTCCTGGTTAATGGGATAACAGAGTTACAGGAAGAATATTTTATTAAATTGTGTTCAATTAAAAATGTTCCAGTTGAGTCCAATTCTGCTGGCGCAATGACCAACAGGGGGGCTACAGAAAGAAGTTAAAGGAAGTTTAAAGCAGCAACAAGTGAACATGAAGAGGTTAAATCCCCAGATACTAAAAGCTTAATTTTGAAACTGAAGACACACGAAGCACACTGAGATATTTACATGTAGAATAGGTCTTACCACATTAGTGCTGGGGCTGTTTTAGTGATTTCTTAATACCTTAAATTCCCAGGAACTACCTGCAGGCCAAGGCTTCCATTCCTCACTCATATGACACAGCTTGCATCTCCCAGTTTATATTTAAATGAGTAATTATTAAAAAATAAGCCTTAAGATGTAATAAGCCCAGGACTTTATAAGCCATAGGATGTTACATGCTTGGGACTTGAAAATGAAATATGCAAATTATTGTTGGTTGTATATGATGATATAATTGAATGTAAACATCAATATTTCATTGTGTTATTGAATTAATTAAAAGTTAAATGTTACAAAGTTAAATACTCTAGTGACATATTTACTCTACACTTCTATATGAGTGGAATATAAGATGCTCTTTTAAATACACCTTTAACTGAGAGCTGGACATTATCATTTTAGGAGCATTTCTGATCCCGTACTTCACTACGCTGATTTTTGCTGGGATTCCTCTCTTTCTGCTGGAGACGGCGCTCGGACAGTACACTTCAGTGGGTGGATTAGGTGTGTGGAAACTTATCCCCATGATGAAAGGTATGAAACACACACATAAACATTTTGAATAAAATCTACACTGTAAAACATTTATTGTAAAATTTACAGTAATTTACTGGCAGTAGAGTTGCCAGTGTATATTCACGGTAAATGTTTACAGTATTTTACTGTGTATTAAATTTCCTGTAAATTTACAGTACTTTTACTGGCAGCTGTAAATTACTGTGTTCTTGCATTGTCTTGTATGTTACTGTAAACTAACGCACTGTTCTAAATGCGCAATATTTTAAAATATGATCTGGTAAAATGACTAGGAATTTTACTGTAAAATACTGTAAATTAACAGCATTTTTTAATATACAGTAAAATACTTTTTATTTGTATTGAATGGTAAATATACAGTACTTTTCTGTAATTTTAATGTAATTTTGCTGTAACTTTTACAATAAATATTTTTGAGTGTAGTGACTGAACTTTGAATAGCGCTCAGAGAAATTGTACAGTGCTGGGAGTGTCTGGTGTGTGATGACTTAAGTATAAATAACATTTATTTTGATACTGATATAACATTAAAAGACTCTTGCCTAGTAAACCTTCTGAAAAAAAAACTATAAGGGTAAAAAATTTATTGCGAAAATGGTGTCCATCAATACATAGTTCAGCCCTCCCACCAGGGGATCCCCAAGACCTCTGCTACAATTAATATCCTGAATATAGCTTAGTCTCTCCCTCTTTTCCTCTCTCTCTCTTCCTCTCTCTGTCTCAGTTTAATGGACACAGCAACTCTACATGCAAAATAGCCAAATCAGTTATGATATAATAGGCAACAATAGACAGGAAAACGTGTTTAACAACAATTTCTTCATAAAATTCATATTTGCTGTCATATCAAAGCTTCATAACTCCATTTTTTCAGTTTAATATTATTCACCATTTGAAAGCATCAGCTGCCCTTTACACTGTCTGAACATCCATGATGTACCAATATAAATACTTGGGATAAAATCTTGTCACATTAATGTACCTTTAAAGTTAAATAGTTTTTTTGTTTGGCTCATTTCCACAGTTACCATTTTGGATATATTAGTATATGTATAATTTTACAAAACCAATGATTTTAGTGAGCTTTCTGTCTCTCTCTCTCTCTCTCTCTGTCTCTCTCTCTCTTTCTCTCAGGTGTAGGTCTGGCTGCTGCAGTTTTGTCCTTCTGGCTCAACATTTATTACATCATCATTATCGCCTGGGCTCTCTACTACCTGTTCAGCTCCTTCAGATCAGTAAGTCCTGCCGCTTTCTTTGATCACTAATGGCTCATTCATCCTCAGCCCATCTATTCATTTGTTACTTTGAGTGCTGAAATGCATTTTAAAGTGTGTTCACTTGTTCACTTGTCCATTCACTCAAATATGAATGAGCTGATCTGGATGATTTAAGAGGAAATAATGATTCTGATTTTTAAACTTATTCCATTTTTTTGCTCCACGCAGCACAATGTCCTGTTCTTGTTATTCTGAAAAGGGAGTTATTTCTCCAGCTCCGGCAGCCATTGTTGCTTTCATGGAGTTCCCTATCTCCCTGTTTCTCGCTCCGTTCCTCGCCACCCCCTTGACCCGGCTCTTTGTGGCAGTCTCTGCTCTAGAGTGCACTTTAAAAGCCGCTGGAGAAATAATAAGCGTCTGGGTGTTTTTGTGCAGAGCGGAGCACTCGGCGAGGGCTCTCTGCGTCATGGGAATAAAAACTTTCACTCTTCGCTGCAGAACACAGACTTTTAAACAAGCTTCAAATAGCACTCTTTTGGACTTAAGTCTGTTCCTTGACTTCTTCATTCTTTATTTATTTTTTTATCTACAGCTTATGTACAGTAGTAGCTCTGCTATTTTTGACAGTTTTCTCTCAACACTCATCTTTCCACTTTCTCTGATGTTTTATCTATTCTCCAGCTTAGTGGTTCACAGTCCCAGTCCTGGGAACTCAATGTAAAGGCAATTTTGTGTTATCGACACTCTATACCACGTGTTGGGCTCCAGTCCTCGTCCTCGCTAATCTCCGCAGCACTTTGGCCCGGGAGGTCCCCAGTTTCACATGCCTACTCTTCACTATGACTGATATAAACCTCTATATCTTTATTCCATTATACTATAAAGGGAGATTATTTACTTTAATGATAAGCGATAAAAGTACATAGATCACTGGAAGTGAATAGGTACATCAACCTGTACTAGCATTCACCAGAAGCATAAACAAACTAATGTCAGTTACTTCTATCAACAAAACTAAGTACCAAGATGATCCCATTGAACGTTGTAGATGCCATAGACATACTATGCATTTTGTTACACATTTAACTAGTGATTCATTGTGTTCACTGGTATGAAGAATGCATTGCGTGCCCTCAAAATCACTCTAGAATTCTGTTTTACAGTTTACACTAAGACGTATGTAAAAAAGCCCTAAAACACAAATAGAAAGCCACTTAAGGTCATGTGTTACTGTGATTTTATCACGGGCAAGGGTGTTGTTAGGCATGCAGAGTCAAAACCCCTCTACTGTGGTAAAATCACTGTAATGGATGGTCTCAAACCTCCTCTAAGAAATGCAGTTCATTTAGAGTACCCAACTATGGACTGCTGAAGGAAGACAAGAACTTTGTCACATATCATTTTTGTCATATAATAATGAAAACATTATTTCATTTTTTTTTTACTGTAGAAACCATTTACTCATCAAATTGCAAAGATGAAAGTTCATTTCCGCTACTTCCTCTAAGAGAGTCCTAACCAAAAAATGACATTGTAAGCATGTAAGACTTTCAAATAACATATACTTTACTTTCTATATTGCAGTAGAGTGAACATTCAGTAACTACTTATACTGAAAGCCAAACACTGAATACTCTTGTGGCTAAATTTAGCCTGTTTTAACCTTTTGTCTTCTAGCTCAGTTGTTAGATAATAAGATATGAGCCCCACAGTTTATACAAAACCGAGTTTTTACTTCACAGATCAGTATACTTTGTGGTCCATGTGAAGAGAGTTCCAGCCCCAGTTGTTAACAGCACCCTGGTTTTAGTTAGTGGCTCAGCCAATCAGATTTCCTTTCCCATCCATTCATTCATCCATTTAACTTCGCTTATCCAAGTAATTCCTTTCATTGTATTCCTCTTTATTGCAATTTCCTCACTATATTCTTAAAAAACTAAAGGTGCCACAAAGATTGCACCCATGTCTTCCACACTTTGTGTGCAGTTACACATTTCTACCAAATCCTCAAATCAGAGATATTGTAGCTTTAAAAAACTTTTTAATTGAAAGTTTTTTAAACAATATTTTTTTTATGGGATATGCAAGTATAAAGAACCTCCACATAATATAGTGGCTGTGATCTGGCTGGCTAATATATTATTATTTTTCTTCTATTTTACTCATTTTAACTTTGCCTATTCCTCTCTAGTACTGCTTTTATTGTTTAAGCAATGCTGTTTTATGTCCGCTGTTCATGTCCATGGTGCTATGTGCACAGCTTCTAATGTGTTCTGTAGCTAGGTTTCTTGTTCTGTAGAGCTTTGGGTATTAGAAAAATGCTACATAAACCAACTTCATTATTATTATCCAGTTTCAAATCACCATCTCTGTCTCTTTGTAGGAGCTGCCTTGGCAGAGCTGTGATAACCCCTGGAACACTGAGAACTGTTTTTCTAACTACAGCCTGCCAGACACCACCAACCTGACCAGCGCGGTCACTGAGTTCTGGGAGTGAGTGAAGTCTGATCAGCCTTGTCATGATGAATCAGTAGCCAAATTTCATATTTTGCCAAAAAGAAGTACACAACCTCAGCAGAAAACTAGTCATTTTTAAATATCACATTTTCCTACAAGTGTTGACGCAGCTACTTAATATTTGATTAAAAATAATATAGAAATTGCCCAGGTTTGGACACCCGACATCAGTATTTAGTAACTCCTCCTTTTGGCAGGTATCACAGCTTGCAAATGCTTGTTGTAGCCAGCTAGGAGATTTTCTGTTCTTGTTTTTGGGAGTTTTTACCCACTCCTGCTTGCAGAATGCTTCTATGCTAGGTCTGTAATATTCTTGGGCCAGCTTGCATGTGCAGCATGTTTAAGATCTACAGACAGATTTTGAATGATGTTCAAGCCAGAAGCCATTCCAAAAGCTTCAGCTTGCATTTGTTGAAGTAGCTCATGCTGGATTCTGAGGTACGTTTTGAGGTACGCATTGTCCTGTTACTGAAGGCAGCCTCTTTTCAGCTTCAGTCTCATGACTGTCTGTGTCACATTTGCTCTTAGAATTTGCTCATATTTAGAGGACTCCACTCTTCCCTCTATCTGTGTAATGCCTCCTGTGCCACTGGCTGCCACATAACCCCAAAGCATAATAGATACAGTTAGCAAGGTGTTCTTTTCATCAAATTCTTTCTCCACACATACCTTTGGTGACTGTGGCAAAAGAGTTCCATTTTTACTAAGTAAAAATTTTTACTCAGTCCACTGCGTTTATTTCCAAAATGCCTCTGGCTTATCTAGAGGTAGTTTTAGGCATTGACCTTTGTAATGAGGTCGCAGGTAAGGTTTCCTTTTGATGACTCATCATTGTAGATAATTTTTGCAAGCAGCACTGCATAGCAGAATGATGCACCTTCACCTTGAAATATACAGCATGAAACTTATGAGAAAGAAAATTTTCAGGAAACACACACATATTCTACACACACTTGGCCATGTAACTGCTGAGCAACCAGTTGACCAATTACTTGTGGGCTCCTAAAAGTGATTGCTTTTCTGATTGTAATTCCTACACTTGTTAACCCAATTTCGATGTATATATTCTCAAATTAAAACTAAAAGTCTGCACTTTAAACTCATATTAAATTTTTAATTCACAATTAAAACCTTAATATGCTGTGATAGACAGCTAAATAATAAAACCTGTATGTGCTGTCTATGTGTGTCCCACCAGGAGAAACATGCACCAACTGACCAATGGCCTGGAGGAGCCGGGGGAATTGCGCTGGCCACTGGCTGGAACTCTGGCCCTGGCCTGGGTCCTGGTCTACTTCTCCATCTGGAAAGGGGTGGAGTGGACCGGAAAGGTATAACTGCCAGTGCCTCCTACACTACATATGGCCTTGTTTTAAACTGTAGAATTCTCTTGATTTCCTTCTCTCTTCCCATCATGTTTATTCATTTGTATGACCTACAAGTTTTTTCATTGCTACACTGAACAAAGTGCTGCATTCAGTTTACTTGATTCAAATGTCTGTCATTTCTATATGATTACAATATATTACATGAATGCAGCACCCTTCATTTTATTTGTGTGGCAATAACTGTGTTGGTAATACATTTTACTCATGTAGAAATGATGAGTACATTTAATGCATCACTTTTTTACAGCGTAAATAATGCGATTAATCCAGAAACACTGCAGCCCACCAAGCCATAATGCAAGAGAACATTCAAATAGGAGAGAAAATCATTCCCTTCTTGTTGTCAGAGGATAATTCGATCTTAATATGAACTGCGTATGTGGATTAAATTAACTCTCCAATGGCCCACAGCCTTGATGGACATTACCAATTAAACATGATCATTAACCTACGATGGGCAAATCATGTTCCTATGCTCTCTGGAACAAATCATCATGGAACCATAGCCGTCCAAACATCTGAATTATACTGTCTGCCAAATAGCCTTCATGTTGTTCCTCTCTCCATTTCCCTCCCTTTATTACTCCCCTCAGGTGGTGTATTTCTCTGCCACTTACCCTTACTTCATGCTCTTCATCCTGTTTTTCCGAGGGGTCACTCTCCCTGGCGCTAAAGATGGTGTTCTCTTCTACATCACCCCTGACTTCAAAAAGCTTCTGAGATCAGAGGTAAAGCTGGCTGATGTGTGTTATTTCTGGACACATGTAATATGTCTCAACAGTGAGTAGTGTGCAATGAGTAACAAGGGTGTAAATACTTCAACACACCATACTGACATTATGAAGCATGAAACCTACAGGAAAGAAGTTCTAAGAAGTAGATTCGTCTGCCCACATAAAACACAATATAAACAATATACCATAAATATTTGCCTTTATTACAGCATCTGTTTTTGGTAGTCTTGCTTTTAATTTTTTTTTAAAATCCACAGGGATATTTACCTCCAAAGTTCAGTCTTAGAAGTTGGTTGCATTTTATGCTTGTAATAACACATCCCAAACACATTCAGTTATGTTGAGGTCTGGACTCTAGGGTGGTCAGTCCATTGTTCTAATTAACACAAGCAGCTTCTTCATTTGTTTTGAAATTTTCTTCTTTCATTTTCTCAGTAACAGCTTCTTGATAACCACACATTTTTAGATCTATAGCACTGAGTTGTCTTCTCACAGTGGAAGGATGGACAGAAACAACTGTGGATTTTTTGAGATCTGAAGCAAGAGTGGAGCTTGATTTTCTCCTCTCTCTCAAAGATGAAAGTTCTGTTTATCTGATGGGGACAGTTTTGGTGGTCTACCAGGTTTTTAGGTGTCCCATTTTCTCTGTATCTTACCATCACTTTTTGAACTTCCACTTCCATTAACTTAAATCTAAACGCCTCAGAAATATCTCATGAAAACGAACAACTTGTATTTAATGGCTATTTTCACTGGAAAGTAAATAAACAAAAAATGGTCTCTGACCTTGGCACAGTGCTGTACATGAAAACATTGAACGCTTAATCAACCATCCTGCTTACATTCCTTAAAAGTGTAAAGTTCTCACTTTCGTCTTGCTAAACTATTGTAGTTATGGTTTTTACATAATTAATTACATAGTTAATAAGCTAATTAATTATGTTTACATTTTTTACATTATGTTTACAAAATGTAAACATTATTAATAAACTAATTAATTATGTTTACAGTTTTTTTCCGTTCTATATCGACAGGTTCAAGTCTGCACTTCTGTTCTTTTCCATTTGTTATGTTGTCACAAAAATGGTTCTTTATCCAAAACAAGACTCAAGACTGCATACAACAATAACTTTTCATCAAATTCAAGTCAAAATATTTCCTTGTCTACTTACAGATACAGACTTTTACATAAAGTTTAAAATCTACCGTTTCCACACAATTTCTCCACTTGTGTTCTACAAGAGATAATTAACCCTTTATACAGGGTCTACAATTCTTTTATCACTCTCATTACTACATCCCTTATATTTGGTTCAAAGTAGTTATTAAATAATTTAAAGGAGCTTATGAATAATAAGTTTTCTTAGACTTCTTGCTATCTATAGAACTGGCAGTAATAACCTCAACTTCTAAGGATTAATATGACTGAAATAACTGAAACACCCCAGCCAACACATGGAGATAGTATAACTTAGATCTCTCTATGTGTTCTTCAGGTGTGGCTGGATGCTGCCACTCAAATCTTCTTCTCTTATGGTCTGGGTTTGGGCTCTCTGATCGCTCTGGGCAGCTACAATCCCTTCAATAACAATGTCTACAGGTACATCCCTTCGTCTTCAGTCTCAGAATTACTCTATACATCAATGCAGATCACATTTGGGTCATGCAGTGTCAGATTTTGGGTTCCACATTTAACAATATCATGGGCTATATTATGTAGATCATAGGATTAAACATATATATTCTTACCTGAACGTAAGATGCAACTGCAGATAATAATAATTTGTTATCAATTTGTAAGTCAACTGAACAAAAAACAACTGTTTTTTTTTTTTTAGTTATTATCTAGAGATGCTAAGATCTACATGCCACACAGTTATAGTGTCTTAGACATAAAATCATGAGCTTTTAACTAACCTGCATACTAACCGTGAGACTTCTCCTCCATGTTGTAGAGATGCTGTCATCGTGTGCTGTATAAATTCCTTCACCAGCATGTTTGCCGGCATTGTCATCTTCTCCATTGTAGGATTCATGTCCTACATCACCAAAAAACCTATCCAGGAGCTCGCTGCTTCAGGTAAGAGTAACACTGTCCAACAGCACACACACACAATGCAATCTGACCAGCCACTTTGTTAAGTACACCTCCTTTTATCTACAATCTTTGACCATTTTATCAGCTCCACTTACCATATAGGTGCCATTTGTAGTACAATTACAGACCGAAGTCCATCTGTTTCTTGGCATACTTTATTAGCCCATTTTACCCTGTTCTTCAATAGTCAGGCCCCCCTAGGACCACCACAGAGCAGGTATTATTTATTATTTGGGTGGTGAATCATTCTCAGCACTGCAGTCACACTGTTGTGGTGGTGTGGTGTTGTGTTAGTGTGCGTTGCACTGGTATGAGTGGATCAGACGCAGCAGTGCTGCTGGAGTTTTTAAACACTGTGTCCACTGACTGTTCACTCTATTAGACACTTCTACCTTGTTGCACCTTGTAGATGTAAAGTCAGGGTCACTGCTGCCCATATATCCGCTGTTGGCTGGATATTTTGGTTGGTGGACTTCTCTCAGTCCAGCAGTGACACTGAGGTGTGACGCTGAGCACTGTGCAGAGAATGATCCACCACCCAAATAATACCTGCTCTGTGGTGGTTCTGTGGGGGTAATGAACATTGAAGAACAGGGTAAAAGGGGGTTATGTATGCAGGAAACAGATGGACTACAGTCTGTAATTGTAGAACTACAAAGTGCACCTATATAGTAAGTGGAGCTGATAAAATGGACAAAGATGTAGATGCAAAGTTGGTGTACTTAATGAAGTGGTCAGTCAATTTATATTTGATAGCTATTTGACATGCATTACTGATGATAAAAAGGCATTTGTGACTTTTCTAATGCTACAGCAATTTAGCTATTTTTTGCAATTGCTGAGTGATGGTCAGTGTTGGTCTGAGAGTGAGTTTGCTATGATTTTAAATATCAGGTCCAGGTTTAGCATTCCTGGCATATCCCCAGGCGGTCACTCAGCTGCCCATGTCCTCCCTGTGGGCCATCCTGTTTTTCTCCATGCTTTTAATGCTGGGACTGGACAGCCAGGTAAGATGTGCACACTTACACACAAACACAAATCTACACCATACATAAACAATAATTATACATAAAGAACAACTACGAAACTGAAAGTTCAAGTTCTAAAATCTGATTGGATGACCCATGTTCAAAGGTGTTTTCTTATATAAAGGTATCTTTAGATGTTTATAGTATTTTGGGAATTCGGTGAAGAAGAACTTTCTGTTTACATTGTTTGTCAAGTTATCTACCTTGATGTTTGAGCTCCATTTTTGAGATATGAATTATGTATATTAATTTTATTAGACCTTAATTCTCAATGTTAACAGCTTTCAGAGTCATTTAGAATTATCTACAGACCTGTTTGTTGTTCTAGACACATCCAACATTTCTTCATTTTCATTTACAGCTTGCTAGTGTTCTACTAACTGATTGCAAACTTTGACCAGCAGTGAACACACACACATGAACACACACATCTACTGAATTCTGTATTAATGTGACAAGTGCAGCAAACCAGTGATCTGTTTATGAAATAAACTTTGATCATTGTGTTGCTTGGCAATTATAGCTTACTGTTAAAAACTGTATTAAGTGGAGGAAAAGTGTATTGTAATTATTATTATTGACAATAATACATTTAATTATGTATTGAACATTGGCATTTTTAATCATATTGTATTTTGTATACATCTATTTTATTCATCTATATCTATTTTATAAGACCCACTCAAGGTTATGCGTTACAGTGATTTTCACCACAGTTAAGTGGGTTTACTTAACCTTAGCTCAACAATGGTAAAATCACTGTAATACACAGGGTCAAGTGCCTCATTGCTTTATTATGACATCACTGTCTCAGCACAGTATATAGATGACAAAATAAATGAATGAATGATCTCCACAGTTCTGTACTGTGGAAGGTTTCATCACCGCTCTGATAGACGAGTACCCCACTGTTCTGAGAAAGAGGAAGAAGGTTTTCATCCTCATTGTCTGCATTATATCCTTCCTCATTGGCTTGTCCAACATCACACAGGTGAGATGCAGCCCTGCAGACTTTCCACTTTGTGTGTCTGTGATACATTCCAATATAACAGACTAACAGTCACTTTTTTATGTAATTTGATCTGATAACTAGTGTAGCTCAGGTTTCTAGGTGTTCTTGTACAGAACAGTAGTTGCAAAAGTCAAAGACCACCCATCATTTATTTAATTTCCAATCAAATTGGCCAGTAAGTGTGAGTTACTGATTTTTCAAGAGATATTTCTGAGGAAAATTAGATTTAATCCATGTACACAATGAAAAAGAAAGTCAAAGGAAAATAAGTGCAGATAAATTTCCAAAACTGGCGTTAAAAAAAAATTAAAAGATACAGACAAACAACTGTGCAAGACCAAAACTGTCAACATCAGAACTTAAAGCATTCAGAGGAGAAAATCAAGCTCCACTCTTGCCTCACATCTGAAAAAATCCACAGGTGTTTCTGTCCATCCTTCACTGTGAGAAGACAACTCAACACTGTGAGTCTGAAAGGATGTGTAGCTGTAAAGAAGCTCTTACTGAGAAAAGGAAACAGACAAAAATGAAGAACATTTACATATCAAACAAAGAAGCTGCTGGTAATCTCATAACAGTGGACGGTCCAGCAGTGAAAAGCAGAAAATGTAACCAACTTCTTAGACTGAACTTGATATTCTATTTAGTTGTTGAGGCTTCATTTTCTTTTAAATACATATTTTGTCTTTATTTTTCTAATGATATAAAATGAGTAAATTCTACACTGTAGCATTAAATGGAAATAATTAAATAAATGAAGGGTGGACGTTCTAAAATACTTTGTTATATTTTTGTATTTTGTATATATGTTTTTTTTTGTGCAAGCAGAATAAAGAAAATAGAACAAAAAACATCTACATTCTATTCTATTCTATTCTATTCTATTCTATTCTATTCTCCACTGACAGACATGGTTGCTTCTTCTTTCAGGGTGGCCTGTATGTGTTTAAGCTGTTTGACTATTACTCAGCCAGTGGGATGTGCCTCCTCTTCCTGGTCTTCTTTGAGACGATCTCCATAGCCTGGTTTTATGGTATAAAGCTCCCAATGATCAACCACATTATTACATTGCCGCAGCCAATTTAACCTGATTCAAATGTGTTCATCATTTCCACATGAAGTACTTTAAATTAACACAATTATTGTCTAATAAAAGTTAACTGCAATACACCGTTTTGATGGAATGTATTTTGGTTCTGACACTGGTTTTCAGCAAAGTACAATAGCACTATAGTGTCAGATAAAAATGGCTGGACAAATTATGTGAACGATTTAACCACTTAACCAGAAATGGGTGACTGAAGAAACTGACCAAAATTACAGTGAACAGCCTGCAGACCTTCAAGAATACAGCATGATTCTCTTTGTAATCTTCTTCAATGACATACAGAGTCTGCAGAGCTAACTGACATTTCTTTCCTTCTCTGCACTTCAGGAGCAGATAAGTTCTACAATAACATAGCGGACATGATCGGCTACCGGCCGTGCAACTGGTGGAAACTCTGCTGGCTCTATTTTACGCCACTAATCTGTCTGGTATGGAAAATATACTTTATGAAAATGACCAATGCAATGTTTATTTATCAATATATATTAATCTAATGCTGCTGATATGGACAATACACTCTGTGTGCATGGAAAAGCTATGCAATGCAACAGTTATTTGTTTACCAATATACATTCACTGGCTTCCTTATTAAGCACCTTTGTTTCTACACTCACCATGCATTCATCAGCCCCACTTACCATATAGGTGCACTTTGTACTTCTACAATTGTAGACTGCAGCCTGTAACTGTAGAACTACAAAGTGCAAATAGTAAGTAGACAATAAGTGTAGATGAAAAGCACACTTAATATATATTTATCTAATCAATCTGGATGGAAAGTATACTCTACATGCATGACAACAAGCTCTTCAGCAAAATATATTTATCTGATCTGTCAGGTCTGTTTGCAATGCTGTGCTACTGTCATATATGCTATGGATGCCATAGCATTATATAATGAAGATCACATTTGTTCACTCACTAATTTATTCATTCACTCAGTCTTCTTCTGTCCATCCCTCCATCCATCTGTTTATCCATCCATCTATGCATCCATCCATCTATCTGTCCATTCTTCCATCCATCCATCAGTGTATTGATCGCTTCTTTGGTGCAGTTGATGACTCAGTAAAGCTGCCTCTTGTGTTTTCTCTGCGTAGGGGGTTTTCACCTTCAGTGCCATAGAGATGACCCCTCTGACTCTGGGGAAGTACGTGTACCCGGCCTGGGGGCAGGGCATCGGCTGGCTCATGGCCCTCTCCTCCATGGTGCTCATCCCAGGATACGTCATCTACATGTTCTTCAGCACCAAGGGCAGCATACGCCAGGCAAGGCTTATTTTAGGGCCTGTTCTATCGATCTGTGGACACACACAGCTGATAAACACCCAGGCTTCCACTTCTTGTGCTCCTCTTATGATATCCTACTCTCTTTTTCCCTCTCTTTGCTTTACAGGCAAGTCTTGGTGCTCAGTTCCAATTTTTGGGTGTTTTTTTTGTCAGACCGGATTTTCTTACTTTGATCTTTCACATCATTCACATTTGAAGTGGCCAATAATTGTAACCATTTTTAATCTTTTATTATTATTTTTTTTTTATTGGCAGCCTAAAGCCTCAGATTCTGTTCATTCCTTCTGTCGTATGTGCTCTATAACACGTTGAATAAATGATCCAATTAATAACTTGGTTCAAAGGTGTACATCATTTCCACATTAATCTCATATGTGACATAAGTTGTGTCTTTCAGTTTTGGCCACAGTTTTCTGATGTAATATATTTTATTTATGTGGAAATTATTTGAATCATGTAAACTTAATGCATCACTTTTTTGTGTCTGTTTCTTCAGCACTAATACCAAGCGATACTTCTTTCTATCCACCACAGCGCTGGCACAAAATGACCACGCCCACTGAGGAGATCCAGGCAGAGAAGGACGTCACAGGGCATCAAACAAACATTGGCGAAGCTTCCGTCTGACATCTTTTCCTGTCCCGAGTTCAGAGAAGGCCATTTGGGAAACTAAAGAAAAGCATCCTGGCTAACAGAACAGCACCAGCACTGCTTCCTTCTACACATCTCTTTCACTGTGAGCTGGAGAGAGTCTACAAAAAGACTAAACTGAGCTGAATACACACTCATGCCTATTTTCCAGTCACCTTCAATTCAAAGCATTTGCGTGACTCGCAGTGGGCAGACTGCCAGTGTTTAATTTGAATGTATAAACCAATTTCTCTGCGACATGGACATGCAATTACAAAATATATCCGTGCAGGAGAGGCATTTTTCAAGCTTTGACCTTTTTTCGTGAGCGTGTAATGGATGGAGTGATTCTGGGCAACATCTTCAAAGACTCAATGTCATCTAAATTATACACAGCTTAGCACATTTTGAAAGACTGCATGACATTTGGGCCATACCCAATACACAACCACATAAAACAGCCACATTACTGTGATAGTATGAAAGTAATCAGTGGTGAACCTTTTATTCATCTATCCATGCCCCACCCACAAATGTGGTTCTTTATAGCAAAGTTATTTTACTTACACCACAGTACATAACATCGATATAACCAGTGAGAGATGTTTGACGTTGATAAAACTGAAACATTGGGGATTATCTTGATACTTATTTAAATAAATATTTTATCCCCCCAAACCTCCTGCATGTTTTTTTACCACTCCACCACTGGTGGCTAGTAAATGGGATATCCTCGCGTGTATACCTCATTGTTGCATGTGTTTTTTTCTTGTTGTAGTACCAAACTGCCTGCCACTACACATCATAGTAAAACGACAGTCTATGATTGGCTCTTTTCTGTCAAGGCAGGTGGATCTTGGCCACATTGCAGAGAATTTCAGTCAAAGACTTTTTGAACATGAAGCGCATTGCCTCTTGTGCTTAAGGCCAGAAGAATACTTATCCCAGGTATGCAAATGCTCGTAGTGCTCTCAGCGTAACAGCAAGAGGTGCTATAGTGACAGCGAAGCTTGCTTGTCCTGCTAGCATACTTTTAACCATTCAACTCTCATGGGAGAGACTCTCAGAGAGCTAAGAAGTGATACATCATCCCCTGTTCACTCCAGCGGGACAAATAAATCAGCACACGTTCCTCTGTTGTCCCATGTTTAGTTGTTTTGGCTGTTGGTATAACAGTAATTCATGTTCACAGATGCTCTAAAGCTCATCGATTGACCCTTTGAATACTGAGTGTTTTAACCGTAATGTAAAATGCGTGCAATGCATTGGGCAGACATTGTCATTTGGTTTCATGTTGAGTATGTTTCTGACCTAAAAAGAGGCTCGAAGCATTTCTTAGGGTGCAGGTCAATGCATTTAACGCGAGACGTAAGACAAGGGAAATGTCATATATACCACTAAATAGAAAACTGTTTTTCATGGTCAGAATGTGATAATACTTGTGTGGAGTGTTGTACAGGGCCAGGTATTCAAACACAACCAAATCTAGCCTTTCCTCCATGTTGGATGAGTGATTAAATAAAAGGGTGACACTTTATTTTGAGTGGTCCTTTTACAAACTCAACAGACTCTAAGTAACGTGTCAAAAACATATCAGGGTTAGGATTAGGTTTTAGGTTGAGATTAAGGTTAAAATTAGGATTAGGCCAGGGTTAGGGTTAGGTGTTGGGTAAGGTTAGGTTTTGCTTAATGGAAGTGACATATTAACAAAAGATCTACTTAATGTAAATAATGTATCAACAGAACATCTACAAGATATTTACTTCAGTGTATTCAGATGCTTCACTACTGCTACTTCACTGATATGTTGTTGATGTGCTACTGATAATCTGTTAACAGTTTAATAATCATCTGCTAAGGGCCACTCCAAATGAAGTGTTACCAATAAAAGGTATTCTTAATGTTGAATGGACAGCTGTGGGCATAAGGTGCTCTTTCATGGGTTCTCTGCAAAAAAAGTTGAAGGTTTTTAACTTAAATGTACAGTTTAATAACGCAAAGACTGCTACACAGATGAAAAGAGAATTTTCAGTTGTTTTCAGTTGTTTTTCAGTTACTCCAAAGACGACAATGAAAAAAAGAGAGTTTGAAAATGATACTACTGTTAGCATTGTGACATACTGTCACTGTCATTTCTGATCTGCATTGTTTTGATTAGTGACAAAAACACAGTCCAGTTCGGTAGCCTAGCATTTTAAATTGGGAACTCAACATTATATAGTGACAAAAAACAAAAAATGGTCCCATTTGAAAATTCTGACAAATCAAATCAAATCAAATCAAATCAAATTTATTTGTATAGCGCTTTTTACAACTGATGTTGTCACAAAGCAGCTTCACAGAAATCCGTTTAGAACAAAGTTTCAACATGAAATGTAAATCCTCCAGGTGAGCAAGCCAGGGGCGACAGTGGCAAGGAAAAACTCCCTCAGTTGAGGAAGAAACCTTGGGAGGAACCAAGGCTCACATGGGGGGAGCCATCCTCCTCTGGTCAAACTACGTACAAAATTATTATTCTACTAATATTAATAGTAATAGTAGTAATAGTTAGGAGACTTCAGTGTAGAGTGGGCAGCCAGTCCAAGGCAGGTGGCGGTGACTGGGTTGTGGGTAACTGGTCTGAAGCGGGTAGCCGGAGAGCTCTACAAACAATCATCCAGCAGTGTCCGGCCGGACAGGTGAGCAGTCGTTTTCTCGGAAGAAAGGTAGGGAAATGGAGTTAGTTTAGTTCTGTATGGGTGTATGTATAGTAGTATGTAAAACATTTCCAGAGTGTGGCTAACGACTCCGGCAGATCTGACTATAACAGCTTAACTAAAAGGAGAGAACCAAAAGGGCACACAGACACGGGAGCACCCTGAAACAATCTGGCATTCCTCCGCTCCACCGTCCACAAACCTGAGTGATCGCGTGTGAGCGGCGGGGCGACAGCACCAGTCTCAGTTTACTATAATTCCCTGCGTCCATGGACCCCTGGATCTGCTGCCTTTATCCAAGGGGAAACATTAGCTACCAAAAGCTAAACTAAACAAATGAGTTTTCAGCCTAGATTTGAATATTGCGACTGAGTCTGAGTCCCGAACATTTTCTAGAAGATCATTCCAGAGTTTGGGGGCTTTATAAGAAAAGGCTCTTCCCCCAGATGAAACCTTCTGAATTCTGGGAACTATTAAAAAGCCAGCACTCTGTGATCTGAGTAATCGTGGTGGCTCGTAAAGGGAAATAAGGTCTTGCAGGTACTCAGGAGCGAGCCCATGTAGGGCTTTATACGTCAATAAAAGAATTTTGTAATCTATACGGAATTTTCTAGTTTTAGTGAGAACCCTGGCTGCAGCATTTTGAACTAGTTGAAGTTTACTTAAATTCCTGCTGGTGCATCCTGACAGTAATGCGTTACAGTAATCTAGCCTTGAGGTAATAAAGGCATGTACTAATGTTTCTGCATCGTGCAGCGATAAGGCATTTCTTATTCTGGCGATATTGCGAAGATGTACAAAAGCTGTCCTAGTGATGCTGCCTATGTGTTGATCAAATGATAAATCTGGACCGAGTATTACACCAAGATTTTTTGCTGCTGAACCTGGTATAACTGGAAAGTCAGCGAGATTTAAAGTTAAATCTGATAATTTATTTCTTGCCACTTTTGGACCCAGAAGGAGAACCTCTGTTTTGTTACTGTTTAGGAGGAGGAAGTTACGCGACATCCAACCCTTCACATCTTTTACACAGTCCTCTATTTTCTTTAACCTGTATTTGTCATCAACCTGTATTTGTCATCAACTGATCTGTGAACTACACATTTCTCATTAGGATGAATTAGATTTTTGCCAATGTTCTGTAAAGCTTGTTCAACCTAGCAACAGGACGCATTTGTGGGTAGAGCATGGATAAGCACCACATTTGCTTGTAGTAAAAGGGCTTTTTGACCTAAATCTGTTCAAATGAACACCACTGAATATATATATGTATGAATGTCTGTGTATGTATATTCAGTAGCATTCATTTAAACAGATTTATTCCACCTTCCATGAATGTTGTAAAGACTGTAAGTTAAGCTGTTGATTTCTGATCATAATTTTGTACATATTCTAAAGGTTGTCAATGGTAAGACTGATTAACCCTAAAGACGTGTTTTCATAGTTATGTTGTGCAAGTATTTATAGCTGGTCCTTTCAAACAGGGTATGCACAATAAAACACTATAAAGATTTTATTTCAGTCTAAACGAATCATTATTCTGCTTGTTGTGCTCTCAAAAGTGCTACAGTCTCACAAATGACAGAAACAACATTCTTTACATTATTGCTCTGTGTATCAAAATAAGGGATTTTATCCTGTTATACTGAGACATTTTGCTGTTTTCAATAGGCAGCTGCCAATCCTAGACTGTCATTACTTAAAAGGATTGTTATTGAAAGAGTAATAACAGAACAAAGGTCTCTGATTAATAAGTACTCGATATGAAGTAGAATATATAATCAGCTCTGACAGCATCAGCTGCTGAATGAACAACGTTTTGTAATCATCCAGTAAATGATGAGGTTTTATTCATATGGAATTTAGAAAAAAAGCAATAAATAGCATCAGAACCATACATTGCATTATTTATTAGAAGCAAAGTTTATCCGCTTAATAAAATACCCAGAAAAGCTTGTTTGTTCATTTATCTTATGTTGATTCATGCTGCTGATCCACTAGGGGGCAGCACCACAGTGGATGCCATGAAAGGATAAGATGAACAACACAGTGATAAGATATCAGAGACATTTCCCTACAGGACAGCTTAGACAGAAAATGCTGTCATTCATCATTACTTAGCTGAAGCTCTTGTGCCTGTGGCCTAACACCCTGAGTGTGCACTTCAGTCAGAGTTACCCAGGGGTAGCCTGGTTTTATCAGTTCAGAGCTGAGAAGCGAGAGGGGAGGACAGGCATTTGTCAGCCTGATGGATGCGGATATTTAGGTAGTCTTATTAAAGTGATAAGACATAATTGTAATAAATGTCTGAGATCATGTTTCGTTTTGTAGTTGACATGTCCAAATAAGCACTTGTCATTTTAATATATGGAAAAACAAGAATGGAGTTTCTGTAAAGGCCCCTGTCACACCCTGTGGTAAGAAATGCCCCAAAACTGAAATGTTTTTACCTACAAACATGTTTTCCTGGAATGTCACAGGGGCCTCTGAATTATGAAGCAGTCAAAATGTGAACACTGCTACATACATGGTACAAGCGAGCTTATAAGTTACTCAAAAGGAAGCTACACTATACTCCAATTTAACACTATTATATAATAACACCAGCTACTCAAATTGTAGTCTACCAAAACCACTGAACCCCTTAACAGACCCAAAGTTGTATCACACACTTCTATAACCTATGAATAGCTCAACCAGTTTGCATTTAGGTCCTTGTAGTTACTGAATAATAAGCTTTAGTATATAATAAGCCTGGAATGTTAAGGGGTTAACTAGCACACTTGTCAGAGGTTGCAGGGTATTTTGGTGAGGCTGCCAGTCTTATAATGTCAGTTAAAAGCTCAGGATAATGTTAGCTAGCATGTAGCTTATACTATATGTAGCAAAATTCCTATTTTGACTAAGTAATGGTCTTGTTAATTAAACAACATAGTAATATTTCGGGGAAGAAGGATATTTAACATACATACA